TATCGTCCGGTATCGAATCTTTCATTTATTAGCAAAGCAATTGAAAAATTGGTAGCTAATCAACTTATCTCCTACATTAACGATTATGAGTTAAATGAGACATTCCAGTCGGCGTACAAGAAATATCACAGTGCTGAAACTGCACTTATTCGTGTTCACAATGATATTCTTTCTGCCATTGATAATCGTCGAATCGTAATTTTGCTGTTATTAGACCTTTCCGCTGCCTTCGATACAGTCGATCATACCATCCTCCTCTCTCGTTTACGTGTACGGTTTGGGATAGCTGGGAAGCCTCTATTATGGTTGCAATCTTATTTATCGAATCGCACGCAATATGTCTCCGTTGATGGTGGTACTTCGACGAAACATGACCTTAAATGTGGAGTGCCACAAGGATCTGTCTTGGGACCCATTTTGTATTTGCTTTATACTTCACCGCTTTCAGATATCGTAAAGAAATTTAACCTGAGCTATCATTTTTATGCTGACGACTCACAGCTTTACTTGTCTTTCCAACCAACCGTACTGGGTGATAGGGATCTAGCGGTTTCTAGCATCGAGAGCTGTGTGGATGAAATCAGTCATTGGATGATGGTTAATCGTCTTAAATTAAATAAAGACAAAACTGAATTATTGGTAATTTCCGCTAAACATCTTCCAAGACCACTCCTTCACGAAATTTCAGTTGCTGGTGAGACTATTCCTTCCGTGCAAAAGGCGAGGAATATCGGCACTATGTTCGTCAGCCATTTTTGCTTTAAGGATCATATTACTGACATTTGTAAATCTTCATTTTATCATTTGCGAAATATTAGCTATATCAGGAAATATCTTTCAGCGACCACTACTGAATTGCTGGTTCATATGTTTGTATCTTCGAAGCTGGATTACTGTAATTCCCTTTTGTATGGCCTACCAGCCTACGCTATAAAAAGGCTACAACACGTCCAAAATGCCGCGGCGCGCCTCGTCACACTTACAAAAAAACATGATCACATTACGCCTGTTCTTTTCAATCTTCATTGGCTTCCCGTTAACCAACGTATTATTTTTAAGATTTTACTTATAACCTACAAGGCACTTAACAACCTGGCACCGTCGTACATTTGTGATCTGCTTACATCTTACACCCCATCGCGTCAACTACGCTCATCATTCAAGCACCTTCTGGTTTCTCCATCCTATAACTTGAAAACATATGGCGCAAGATCCTTTTCTGTAGCAGCACCATCATTATGGAATGCTTTGCCAAGTGAAATTAGAAATGCTCAGTCTGTGTCTGTTTTTAAACGTAGATTAAAAACTTTACTCTTTAGAAAAGCCTTTTATAATTAATATTAGCTGTCTTAAGTGTTAATGTTTAAGTTTTTTTCTTGTAGGCGCCTTTGAACAGTAGGATACTGGCGCGGTATAAATCTTTTATTATTATTATTATTATTATATATAGTGTAATATAATTCTTCTAAGAAGATAACTTTGCTGTGCACGCTTTTTCTGGTTTGTAATACAGTATACCTGTAAACCAGCCAATCTGATTGTGTAAATGTATATGATCTTATCGACTGAAGCCTAATTAGTACCTTTTTTAGTATAGTTATTTCCTACTACTCTCATTTGTGTGAGACATTAAAGTAATTATGATCTTTATCAACTGAAGCATCAGTACCTTTTCAGTAGAGTTATTTCCCACTTAATCAGACCTGAACTTGATTTACATTTGTGTCAAACATTTAAAGTATACTTGTACCCTACATCAACAACAAAGAAAATGATTTTCACTTGAGCAGTATACTTAAAGTGTACTTGTACCCTACATCAACAACAAAGAAAATGATTATCACTCGAGAAGTATACTTAAAGTATACTTGTACCCTACATCAACAACAAAGAAAACGATTTTCACTTGAGCAGTATACTTAAAGTGTACTTCAAAAATGATACTGCAGATGTACTTAAGTATTAGTGCAGTACTATTGAAGTATTATTGAAGTATGATTGCAGTATAACCACTATTGATGCAGTATACTTGTAGTATACTTAAAGTATACTTCAAGGCTATCTTTGATGATCATCAAAACAAATCGTACTGAAGTGGTGGTACATGTGATTGATTTGTGATATTTACAATGACAGGAGCAGGAAAAGCACATTGAGCTTTTTCCTATTCGCCAGTAAGTTAATTAGATTTTGGATTCTACAGTCAAACTGGGTGAGATTAAATCAATTCATATCATGCTTCATCATGGTTTTTTTTAGATGGTAATTGCTAGTATAGTTTCAAAGATGTTTTGTTTGCCAACCCAATTAACAGTTTCATTCAACATAGAATGTTTCAAGAACTTTTATCCTTTCTTTTTAATACCATTTACTATTTCTGGAGCAGAATTAACTCTTTAGCTACCAAGATTTCATTAGTAATTCTCCTTACTGTGCGCCATACAGTTCTTGTGATGTTAGTTTTGAGAATTTGGTATTGGATCAACTAATAATCCCCTAATTAATACTTTTGTTTATTCTCATCACTTGGCTGCTTGATATGGTACTGATATTGTAAGGAGAAATTAAGGAGAAACGTTTGGGAGAAGTTATGGTAGTAATTCATTTTTTTTGCTAGGATGCATAGGGTCTGATGATTGTGATGTATATTTTTTAGCTTTCAAATTTTCAACTTTGTATTAATTGTAACTGTTTACCACATCTATTTCTCTGTACCTTAAGCCCTCAAAAGTTGAAGAAGGTGAGTTAATAACCTTACTTCCTTTGTTTGGAATTGTGTGATTTTATAATTTCGCTGTGTAAGTTACTACACTGTAAAATGTAATATTATTTAGATGGCATTCAATACTCCTTCTCAGGCTTTCATTAACGCGTGGTGTTTCTTACCAATGCTCATACCCAAACTTAACATTGCCATAAGGAATTGGTTACCAGATGTGTGAGGTATAAAAGGTGGAAATCTGAAAAAGCAAGGATCCTCGTTTAGGTAGGACTGAAATTCATGAGGGCTCTCCTATTTTAATTCATGTTTTTACTTTGACCTGCCTCCTCCCCTGTAAGGCTTAGGGCGCATAGACGAAGAGACCAATTTTTGCATTTTGACGCATGAAAGTTAAATTAATTGAGGTCCACATGATGCACAAAGGAAGAATATAGATGCCCTAACTTTGAAGGTTAAAATATGAAAATAAGAGAGTTGTGCAGACCATATCTAAACATTTATCCTCCTTTGGATATTTATCCAAATGAAATAGTCACTATCAGACTCATTCACTCTTACTTTCCACTAAGCCTGTAGAAAGATGATAACCTCAGTACTTCTTGAAATGAAGAAAAGAAAGCCCGCCCTCTTACCACAGATAGTTCTTTTGGGCATCATTAGTACAAACCTGGTCTAATTTGTACATGAAGGTGATTGCTTCAGGTAGCCTAACCTTAAAAATTCGTTGTGAAAATTTCTTGAACCTGTCGTATGTCTTGAATGTTTGACTCAATTTTACCCCACTAACCTAAACTGAATAAATGGAAACTTGCAATTTATTCGTTCTCCTTTTGAGGTGTGCATCAAAATTTCAAAGTCATTACAGGCTTAAACTACAGGTTTGTAGGAAATCTGCATGTGCATGTGTTTTCGACATATAAAACCGGGATTATGACTACTTCGAAAGACTTTACTACGTGCCGTACAAGTGTAGGCAGGTGTTGTAAAAAGTTTTGCATAGCTTTTTCGTTAGTACACATTTCTTTTTCTAAGAATCTTGTTTATCCGGCTTATGCTGAATTCTAATTTTTCAACCAAATTTTATTTTCTTTTGAATATATTAGGATCTCCTGGCATCAGTTAAAATTCATGTAAAAAAAAAATTACATGAATTCTTGCAGATGTATGGCACATCATTCTTTCCTTTGATCCTCCTAAAATTTATCATGTAAATGAACTGGTATTGGTTAGAAGAGTATAGTCAAATTAAAGTTTTGTGCACAGCCTATGCATCAAATTTATGTAGTAAAATGTTGTATTTTTCTTAAAACTGGTTTATCAGAATAAGAATGAGTTACCAGGCACAAGTATGGTAACAGGTATTATCTCAAGTTTTCTTAAAGACACCCACATTATATGTAGTTGCAGCAGAGGTTATTGAATTAAATAATAGAAAAAATGTCAAAAAGACGTCGTGTATTTCCTTCCAGCTAGAGGTGAATCATGAAACAAGAATAGCCAAAAGCGGAAACGTTTTAAAAAAATTACAGGTTCAAACACGCGTTGAAATTACTTTTCTTTTAATTTTCTACGCTTAACAGAGGAGGTTGAAGCCTTAGGAGAAAAACGGTGGAGCAAGCAGTCATACCTTGCAACTTCAAGAGAAGATAAAAGAGAGGCTCATACTTTTCTGGCGTATTGTTTTACTGTGCTCACCTGTACAAACTTCAATCGACTAGTGATGTCTTATTAACGCAAAGTAGTTTACCGACGTTTCTTTCAATTTTGGCTCACTTTCCCAAACCGAAATTATAAGTCACGCTCAATAGAATATAATTTCAACTGATGCTGGCATCATACACTTCATCTGAAGAAGAAAGCATTCCCTATCTTCGAAATTAGCTCAAAATATCATGAGACGACGACGAAGGTCCTAAGCTGTTTGAGGATACCGCTGGCTATCATGCGTGTTGATCGATTTGCAAGTTGTGAGAACATCGTCCTCAGGCTCCAGATCTCGTCAATTCTTCCCCCCTCCCCAACCCCTCGAACTGGTCTCTTAATCCCCTTGAAGAAACTCTACTACAACCAGTGCTGAAGAGTTTTATTACAGTTTTATTCAGTATAACGAAGGGCTGGAAAGTAAACTAACAAGAGCTCCGCTCTTAGGCTTGGCTAAATCTATATATTACAATTACTTTCTCCTATAGCAGTGATTTTCATGTCATGACTGAACGAGATGCTTTTTGCCTAATAAATAATAGCTTCATGATCAACATACATTTAGAAATGATCTAAACTACCTCCAATGTTGTTCAAGTCTTGTTTCGATGCTTTTCGACACCAGACAGCCTATCTTGTCTGTAAGTGAGGCAAATTCTGAATTCATGACTCCATACTTCTGGGCTGCAAGAGCTTTAGAAGTTGAAAGGCGGATAATTTGAGTATTTGTGTCTAGATCTGGCAAACACTGACTCAACTTGTTGGTAATGTGTTCCATGACCACTTTTCCCTGTGGGGTTGGTATGGTGTCCCACTTGTTGCAAACGAACAAAGTGCAGTTTGGTGAGAATTCCATTTACTGTTCGGCCGTGAGTTCCCTCGTTTTATGCAGAAGTCGAACAAGCTAACAAATGAGGAAACAAGCCATATAAAACGACTCAATTAAAATATTAGGCTTAAATGAGATACCTTTTTGGGATCTTTGAGCTACCTACAAAAGTCGTGGTTTAATAATAGATCGAGCGCTGGTGAGGAGTTTAAAGGTTTAGCGTAGTCAATTCAGAAAGTATCAATTATTGCTCACCCGATCTTTCTGAACTCCTCCAGCATTGCTGCTGTTGATGACATAGATGAAAGCAAAGGCATTTGGCAAGTAGTTCAGAACAATTTCATCATTATCTCTGACTCCCCGATGCCAGGGCTGTCAACGATGACAACGCCGTCCTATTGTGGAAACACAATAAACAAGTTTATTTTCTCCCCGTACTTCTTTTCTCTAAACCTTTCAATAGGGTCCTGAAATTTAGTAGCCAGTTTACATTATATTTATAAAGAGGAGGTTTTGAAGATCTGACCTGTAATAACCTGTGAGGCCAAAACAGTTCCACCTTTTTGTAGCTTGATGCCTTTTCTCTCAAACTTGCAGACTTGACATGAACAAATTCTGATATTTGATCTATGTAGTGCAAGGATTCGTTAAGATGCGTGATCTCCGGAGCCTTTCCTTCTTCTTTATAGTGTATCTTTATCCTTTTCTCTCCTCCATATTTCAATTCACAAATTGTAGATGTTGTACTCAAAACAGAAAATGGCAAAAGCTCTTCACCAAGAATTAGGTTCAACATGCTGCTTTTGCCTGCACCGATCTCCCCTAAGCGTAAATAAAATGCAAAATGATCATTGCTTAAATCGTCAATCTCAAGTTCCTTCTTAAACAATCAATGTTAGTTTCAAGTTTACCATGAGTAAAATACAACTGCCATAAAGTCTTCCACCCATATTCTCGAGTTCGAGTTATTCGACGTAACATTTCCGCTTTCAAAGGTCAAAGTCTCACAAGTCGCCACATAAACTAAACTCTCTGGCTTAAGAATTCGATAGATCCCAGTGGACGGTTAATTAATTTATTAGGAAACGTTTTAGCCAAGCAGATTTTTATACTCCTCTCTGTCACTGTTAGACCGGCTTTCTTTGTGCTTAGCATGATCATCACTTATCAAAGCACCTCAGTGGTTTGGGTAAGGTATTATTTTCAAGATATTCACCTGCCACGAGAAGAACATAATCTCTGTCTTGCATTCCTTTTATTCTTGTCTTGATCTTAGAAAGGACGTCGCCCTCGCTTGTTTTCAGCAAATCAAGGAAGGTGGTGTCAAGACTCTGTATTTCCCTCTCTACCTTAGCGTAATAATCAAGAAGGGCTAATGACTTTTCCTTGTCCATTGATTGTGCCTCAGAAATCACCTTAAATGTCTAAAACATGCGTAAATATTAAATGGATTAAATAAGCAAATGAGTTCATTTATACTACTTGTTACATTTAGGTCAGAAGAGTAAAAAGCTATTATGACCGCTGGCAATTTAGATTCAATTGAGGAAAGTTGGTTTTTGGCTTGTTTAAAACGCATCGCCAAGTTTAAGTTTGCAGGATATTAGTTACATCTCTTTTAAAAAACCGTAAATATATTGGTGTGCAGGTCAAACTGAGTGTATACTGTCGTCCGTGTCAGTGCACAAATACAAGCTCAAGTAAGTAGCTGTGTATAACAAGGGCGATCCAAGAATAGTTTACAACACTCGGAGAAGGCAAACGAGAACCCGCCTGCTACCCGAAAACGCCCCAGGGAAAACAGGAACCTTTTCCCCGACCAAATGCAGCTGTGCCGACCTTCGGATAAAGATTGAGTACAGTTCACCACATACATTAACTATGCACGTATAATTTAGAGTATAAAAACGTTAACGAGATGCTTGAACATCCATTTACAAGAACTCACCTGTTTTGAATAAGATTGACAGTTCGAGAGCTTAGATGAATAAATTACTAGTATCAGACCTTACATACACTGCAACAAAAGAGTTTGCTCGTAGCAGGAGGAAATTATTTTAGCTTATTTCTATTTTCAGTCGCTGCCACCTACAGCTTAGTTCCGCCGAAAGTCAAAACATTTCATCAAAGATATCCATTTTCTTTTTCTGGATATATATATATATATATGGATATAACTAACTGCAGACAGTACTGTTTCGGCCTTCTGGGCCTCATCAGTGCAGTGCTGATGCTAGGATGGAGGTAAGGCCATATAGCCACCCCAAGTGATCTCACATATGTGGGATCATCTAGGCCATGCCAGAGTGCTCAAACTAGAAAAACTAGTGAGCATGCATAATGCTCATATATATATATATATATAAAGAGTAATTTGACTTACGTAAGACAGTGCTCAGTGCCGAATCTTTGTATCCAAATTGTGGAATTATTGTCACTGGTGATTTTAACCGTCTTGATATTTGCCATTTGCGGAACCATTTTAAATTAAAGCAGCTTGTTAAATTCCCCACAAGAGGCCATGCCACGCTTGATCTAATACTAACAAACATGGGCAATCACTTCTCAACGCCCGAGAGCTTTCCCCCCTTTGGTCTGTCAGACCATAGCACAGTCATCGTAAAGCCGAAGGAAAGGATACTGAACCAACATACCAGGAAAAAGATCAATATCAGGGATATGAGAGAAAGCAAGAAGACAAGTCTCGGCCGCTATCTCAGCAATGTCGACTGGTCATGCATCAATATGCAAAGCTCCTGTGAGGGAAAACTCCGCAATTTCAACGAACTGATAACAAACGGCATAAATAACATCATGCCAGAAAGGTCGATTAAAGTTTACCCGAAGGACGCCCCTTGGATGACAATAAAACTCAAGGAGTTGATTCGTTTGCGTCAAAATGCATTTCATTCCAACAAGAAGGGTCCAGTTTTCAGATTCTACCGCAATGCTGTCAATAGAGAAAGGAAACTATGCAAAGCAGCCTACTATACTTCAAAAGTGCAAGATCTCAAAGGTGTGAATCCCCGTCAGTGGTGGAAAGAGATAAATAAACTGAGTGGATCCAAAAAACAAAACCCCAATTTACTGTCCTCCCTCGATGTACAGCAATTCACCAACATGTCCCCCCAAGAAATCGCCAGTGCAATAAATGAAGCTCTTCTAGAACCGCTCCAGTCTTATCAGCCTATCAACTGTGAGAACACGTCTGTTCTCCTTCCTACAGGAGAAGGCGCCGAATTCCCTAAAGGGTTCTAAAGGAATACGCCGAAATTTTAGCACAGCCCATAACGGACATTTTGAACACTTCCTACAAAGAACAAAAATTGCCGTCAGTTTGGAAATTGGCGAATATAACACCCCTCCCAAAGGTAAAACAAGTGACTGATCCCAAGAAGGAGCTAAGGCCAATTTCACTTACACCTGCGTTATCAAAACTTGCTGAGGATTTTATAGTTTCTGACTTCATCAAACCGGCCGTGGAAAAAGTAGCGGACCCAAATCAGTTCGGAACGGTATCTGGATCATCCACTGTACTGGCACTCATAAGCATGATACACAATTGGCTTGAAGCAACAGACGGAAACGGAGCGTCAGTTCGGGTCCTTCTTTTTGATTACCGAAAGGCCTTTAACCTAATAGATCAGTCCATCCTAATATCAAAACTGAATCAACTGGACATTCCGAAGAGCGTTATTAACTGGATAGTTGACTTCCTTTGAAATAGGTCTCAGAGAGTTAAACTTGGCAATGACTGTTTCTCTGAGTGGAGCAAAGTGCCTGCCGGAGTACCACAGGGAACCAAACTGGGCCCCTGGCTTTTCCTTTTAATGATAAACGATTTGTCAGTTTCGCTCGACAATTTTAATCTGTGGAAATACGTTGACGATACGACGGTATCAGAAACCGTCCCGAAAGGAAAGATTAGTCACGCGCAAAGTGCAGTTGACCAAGTACAGTCCTGGTCTGAGGAAAATCTATTTCAATTGAATTGCGCAAAAACCAAAGAACTGTTGATCAGCTTTAGCCCTCAATACCCCCAATTTCCAAAAACCAACGTGGACGGGGAACTAATTGAATCTGTGCAGTGTGTTAAACTTCTTGGACTCAATATTAATTCAACTCTAACTTGGAACAACCATATTACAGAAATAATAAAGAAATCCAACTCAAAACACTATTTTTTGATTCAACTTAAGCGGGCTAAAGTACCTACAATCGATCTTGTAGCAATCTATTGCGCAACCATCAGGTCCTGCCTAGACTACGCCTGCCCAGTGTTCCACCATGCACTTCCGAAATATCTACAAGTCGATCTGGAGAGAGTGCAGAAAAGAGCCCTCGCATGCATCTTCCCAGGAGCATCATACAAAGAAGCCCTCGATCAAGCAAACATCCCAAGCTTGAGAACCCACCAAGAACAGTTGACATCGACACTTTTCCGATCAGTTTTAGAAAACAAAAACAACAAAATTCATTCTTTAATCCCAAAAAGTTATCAGGCTAATTACAATTTTAGGAAACAGAGGAATTTCAATCTTAATCGTTGTAAGACCGAAAGAGCGGCAACAAGTTTCATAAATATGTGTTGCAGAAACAGTTTGTACAATTAATTAATGTGAAGTTACGCAATTCAGTTTTATCTGCAATGTAATTTTAATAAAACACAGTCTATCTATCTATCTATCAATACATAGGAAAAAGACAAATAAACTACCAGTTCATCCCTACAGACCTGTCTCGTGGTTGCCCACTCATCAGGGGATTTTAATTTTTAAAATTTTAAAAAAGATTTTTCAAATCCCCTGATGAGTGGGCAACCACGAAACAGGTCTGTAGGGATGAACTGGTAGTTTGTTTGTCTTTTTTCCTCCCACAATATATATATATATATATATATATATATATATATATATATATATATATATATATATATATATAACTAACTGCAGAGAGTACTTTTTTTTTTTTTTTAAAATATAAAAGCCTGGAGACCAGGCAGTTTTATTTCGCCAATGATATCTATTTACAATTCTAATTGATTAAAGTATTCAATTATGAGTTATTTAGGTAATTACAGGTCTCAATTAACTAATGATATTTTCTCTCACAGGCGGCACGAACAGCGCACGGGCTATAACAGCCCGGAGTAAGCGCCCACCTGTAAGAGGTAACAAAGTTCTATTTAAAAGTTTTCTATTTACTATTTACAAAGAGATATTTCAGACCATGTGGGGCGCAAACAGCGCGCGGGCCTGTAGCCCGGAGTAAGCACCCCTCATGGGCGAGATTTAACAAGTTTTATTATATACAAAGGTTCAGGGGGGAGCAAGAGAGGGGAAGAAGATGGGCTTACCAGCGTCGACCGAACAAAGTACGTTTTTAAAAGACCAAAAATTCCTTAAGGTATCAGTGTCGTTACTAAGAATTCTGAGTTGGACATCTTTCTTAATTAAGTCTATAATCGCGTTGGAGCTCAAAAGAGAACCTTCGAAGGTAGCTTTATTTCTGGCAAGCCAACACCAATATATGATGGTTGCCTTGAGAAAGTTAGATAAGGATATAGCGGTGGTAGATTTGTCTAGGGAAAAAGGGTAGTAGACAGATGTAGGGGAGATAGAGAAGGGGGAGTCGAGTAGAGCACGGAAAAGGGGGGAGAAGTGGTCCCAGACTTTCACAACTCTGGGACATCCCAAGAAGCAGTGTTCAATAGTTTCCGTTTTTCCGCAGATCGCGCATTTGTCACTATTGATGTATCCCCAAGACTTAAGGAGATATCTTACGCGGATCATTCTATGGATCAATAGCCAAATTAGATCGTTCTTCTTGTTTTCAATTAGCTTTAGGCGAGACTTGCGCCACACCCAGGCCCAACGATTGATGGGGCGGTCCATAGCAGACGCCCAAAAACCGGAGCACCGGGGTGCAACGCAGACGGGGTCAAGCAACAAAAGATATAAATTCTTACCGGTGAGTAAATCAGGTAAGGCACCAGTTTTCTGATGCAAGGTACGGAAATTATCTAGACAAAGGCGGTAGTAATTGGAAGGAAGGAAGGAAGAGGGAGCAGAATTGGTGGGAAAAGAAAAACGGGGGTCTAGAATAGTTAGCTTATGTCCTAAAAAATATCGAGCTAGGTAATGCCATTTGGATGTGCCAAAGTCATCTCTTAAACTGGAAAAAACAGAAAGGCGCAGGCTAGCGCACTTAGCTTTAAAATTAACGACGTTGAGGCCCCCGGATGATGGGGGCGCACAACAGAGATCGCGACTAACATTTTCCATTTTTCCTCTCCAGATAAAAGGCCAAATGATCGACTTAAAGCTATCGTGCACCCAACGGGGTGGGGGGATGACTTTAGCAACGTGCCATAAACGGCTTGCGCCTAAAGTAT